TACACGCAGATTATTGACTGGACAATAGAACACGTCAGTGAAATTCATGAAGTATCTCAAGGAAATTAAGTGTGAAGGAGGATAATTGGCGATGATGAAGTATCTCAAGGAAATTAAGTGTGAAGTAGGATAACTGGCGGTGGGAAAAGTGGTCCCAACCATGTATAGGTCAACAAGGCTCTGAACAGACTCAACACTTGGAGCAGGCTGAAGTCTAGAAAATTAATGTTGTTATGGAGATAGTAGATAGGTATGAATTACTTAAGTCTCTTCCAGTCCAAGAAGTGGATTTTAAATGGAGTTCAGCTTCAAAACGTAACAAGAGTATGGTTCCTCACTCACCAGGCTGCCATGTTAAAGCTGTAGAACCACAGGATATTACACTTGCTAATACTACTAATGGCTTGAAGGGGAGATTTAACAAATTCCAAAGACAGCTCAATGAACATCGTAAAAAATAGACGTCCAGCTCAGTAAATCCCTGCACGACGGATGTCTAGAGACAGAAGAATGTGCAGAAGGAGGATCCTATATTCTTGTTTTGTTGCTGTGCTCCTCAGTTACCTACCTTTGGCCATTGCTGGAGACAAACTACTGCTCTAGGTGGGTGCAGGAGAACAGCTGCTCTTCTACTCTTACATTCAGTACCTCTCCTCCGTAAGTCATTTTGTCTAACACAGGTATAATGTCCTGAAAAAACTGTCAAGTGTTAGCACCTCCTCCATGCTTGTTAAAAATATCCAAACACTCACTGTGGAGAGCAACTTAAAGCCACATATCACCTCTCTACCAAAAAAGATACTGTAATTCTAAAGTCTTTATTTTTTAATAGCCGGAAAAGATACACAACCTAACATGAGGAATTCAAATCACAAAGGTGGAGTTGGAAATATATATTAATATGAACAACTCGGCTGCTATATAAATATTTTATTAGTTATTTCATTTAATCCAGAGAAAGCTAAATTGGTCCTAGAACGATGACCAAGTGGACTGACCTTTCTATTCTATTCTGGACTTTTTGCATATTTTGTCAGGGAAACTCAACTCCACTGAAAAAGCATATCCAGCAATAGCTGGCAGGGAGAAAGGGATCTCATGACTAAGCTTAAGGTCTATCATCTAATAGATAATTATATCTGCAAAACCGTTAAAATTGTAATAATGATTTGATCTTCATAAACCACTCACCCACCTACGTACAGCAAAATAGTTCTCTCGTTCTGAAAAGGTTCTGTGGTTGCTGTGAGTGTGACTGTTCTCGGAGCAGTGGCTGGTCACTGAGGCAGCTACAAAGAATGCAGCAGAAAACAATCCATTTTACTGGAGTTTCACACTTTTACAGTGGTACTGATAGGCAAAAACAGCATCCTGTATTGATGCATCTGGAAAACGTTATCACTTTCAGGCAGGTGATTTTAACTCTCTTCTGATCTCCACGGAGTCAGAGAGCAGAGACAGTCCTAAAAATTTTAAGATACACAACTTCACGTAGTGTCCCGGTGACTGATATTGCCAGATTTTTGTTCTCTGGGAAGGTGAAAATCTCTTCTACAACTTCTTAATGAGATGCTTGATGTGTCTGCCCAGCCTGATACACCCCAAAACCTCCAGAGATGTAGGGATCAAGCCTCTGAAATAAGGCCTAGGAGAAAGGGTCCATTCATTATTTGAGTTCCCTCTTCTAAGAGCTGGAAGGTGACCTACTGCTTATTGCTCTTTCCCTGCATTTCCTCTACATTTTCACTCCAGCCTTCTCTTACTAGAAGGAAAAAGTCCCTTTGAAAAATCCCAACCTGAAAAATTACCTGGATTTCCCAGCATCAAAAAGAAAAGTGTTATCTATTCCAGGAAACAGTCCTATTTACTTAATAAAATCAATGGATATTTCAATGACACTTTTAGACTACCACACTGGAATTGACTCTTGATACAGTTGTTCTGACAGTACAGAAACAGGGGAAAAACGGAATCACCATATCAAAATCATCTAAGAAAATTACTGTCTCACTATTCCCCATTTTTTTCCTTGCAAAAGGACATCAAATTACTCCAACATTGAACATAACATAAATCTTTTGTTACAGAAAGAGGAGCACAAAGAAAATTTTATTTTTTATGGGTATATATAATCTTAATTCTTAATAGCCAAGGCTGCAAAACCAACTTCTACGTTGACACGCACAGAATCACTTTAAGAAATTAAAAATTATTGAACAAATCACTGCTCCTAAGTTTCTACTCCCCTTCATTCCTCTAAAGCTTCTCAGGGATAAAGATTATTAAAACATAAGCTATATACAGAACATTGGAAATCAATTCTGCCCAGCCACTGTATTTTCTTTCACACAGTCCAGCTGCCTAAATTTAGCATGCATGTTTTTATTTCTATTAGAAACTATGTTAACAAACTCCATGTGGCTCCCCAGTATCCCTGATACCGAACCACAGGCTTGTATATGAAGCCTGGAAAGATCACCAGGGTCAAATGTCCCAGTTGGGAAAAGGAGGATGAGTAAGTGGGTTGTACCAGTAACCAAGCACAACTCCAGTTAGCATGGGAAGCTCTGGATTGGGAATGAAATATGGAGGGGGAAAAAAAAAAAAAAAGTATACACAGCTCTGGATTGGGAATGAAATATGGAGGGGAAAAAAGAAGTATACATGAGTTTCACATATAAACACATCTAATCATATGCTTGAAGTTTCTGAAATGTAGGACATCTTGGCTAAATTAGTGCTCCAGGCTGAACCATCAAGGAAAAGAGAGAGATTCCTTTCTAGAGGCAAGTCATCCCCTTCAAGGGGGTCTGGAACAGGTACCTTCAGGGAGACGTTCATCCTACCTGGTGTTCACCACCTGCTCCAGCAGGGTCTGGAAATCTAAGTTTCAAGAGAAGACTTTCACGCACAGCATTTGAGGTAAAACAGAACAACTGAGGTACTGGCATGTTTTATGTTTTCTTGGGATGCACAAGATGAAATAAACAGAACAACTGAGGTACTGGCATGTTTTTATGTTTTCTTGGGATGCTCAAAATGAAACTTCTCTGTGTACGCTCTTGGGAATCCTGCACTACTTCACGTGATTGCTACCTTGCTATTACGTTACAGGAATCCTGCACTACTTCACGTGATTGCTACTTTGCTATTAAGTTACAGAGAATCACAGAATGATATGGGGTTGGAAGGAACCTCTGGAGATCATCTAGTCCAACCCCCTGCCAGAGCAGGTCCACCCAGAGCAGGTTCCACAGTGTCTAGCCCTGCCAGAGCAGGTCCACCCAGAACAGGTTCCACAGTGTCCAGGTGTTTTTTGAATGTCTGCAGAGAGAGAGACTCCACCACCTCCCTGGGCAGCCTGTTCTTACACAAATACACACACACATACCCTGTCACAACTATCCCCTTCCATCTTTGAGTTACTCATTCTTCTTGGAAGGCAAAAGATTGGGATCCACACACACCAACTCCCCTTGTTCTACTCACACTGTGCCTCAATTTTGTATCATCTTCACTGGGCTTGGTGCAGGAACTTTGCCAGCACACTCCTTTCACACGTGAAAACAGGATTTATCTCCAAACCCTTTTTCTCAGCTCTACACTGAAAGGAACTGAACAGCCTGAAGAATTACTTCAGAAAGAAAAATCAATTTGACAGTTAAGCCGTGGTGACGATGAACCAATGAACTGGAAATCAAGGATTAGGGTTGAAAACTGCAGTTGTGCTCGTGCCGGTACCTACAACTATTATCTTCTGAAATTCTGCAGTAGATGCAAAGTGTAACAGTGGTTAATGGAGAGGGTCTATTTGTATTCCCTCAAATCACAAAGCTGCCACCACGCAATTCTTATTTCTTCTTGGACCCACCATACCTAAAAAACAATGATCCTCTTGTGCTGTGGAAGGGATGGAATGTGAAATCCCATCCACATCCCAACAGAATCCCACAAACATTTTGGCAGGAAAAATTTATTATGTAAAGCCCAGATGGCATCCCAAGTATTTCTACTTCAAAATTTAGAAATATTTTTTTTTTTTTTTTTTTTTCTTAAAATAAACTACACAAAAGCATCACTCCTAAAATTACCATACAAAAGCATCACTCTAGGTAGCCAGACTGAACTGAAGTTATTTGGACTATGGGAAGAACGTGAATGTGGGTTTCTTCATTTAACTTCATTGTCAGAAATGACTAGTATTTTCCTATTCAAATATATTTGAATGACTGGCAGAGAAGAAAGATATAATAGATACATCCCGTTACATACTATACTTTGAGAAGAACTTTTCCAACTATCTAAAGCCTAACAGCTTTCTCATAAACTTTCGTAGCAGCATTTCAAACTTTCAGAACCAAATTTGCTATTTTTTTGTTATTCTACGAGAGGTCTTTTGCTTACCTTTTGGTTTCCCCACTACACAATTTCAGCTTGGAATCTGGGAACGTGGTCTTCAAAATAGTTTTAGCTGCTGCTTTACCAAAGCAGCTAAACCTGATTATCAGTTCAGTTTCAACATCAACTTATATCACTGCATCCCCTTTAAGCTATAGGATAAAGATCGATCCTCGATTCTGACTGTCATTTTGCAGTGAGCCCACTCCTACATTCCTTTTATATCTATCACTTCACTGAATGCCAAAGAAATCTCAGTGTACTTGGCATGAAGGCTGCACTTCCTATATTTATGCTCCCATTAATGTATGCTCCATTTTAGTCCTTAACCAGCTTAAAATCATCTGTGAGGAAAGACAGTATAAAGTGCAAAACGGTTAATGCAACTGTTTTACTGATACCAGATACTGATCACTCACATCACCTTTCCATCATCGTCTCTTCTCCTGGATTTTCTGTTTAAATATAACCAAAAAAAATAGCACAGAAAGACCCACGGTAATTTTTTTAAATTAATAATATACAGTCATATTAGGACTGTTGCTCCTACTCAAACTTTCAGTACCTCCACAAAATAAATCAGGGCTTTTCAATTGTACTACCTTAACTTTGCTGGCAGAAACACATTTGGTTCTTCGAGACAGATGAAAATGAAGCGCTCTCTCCAGGCAAGAAATCCTTATATCTGGCACACTAGCACTTCATCCTTTTAATTATTCCACAGGTGGTTGCCTTGGAAACTGCCAAGTAGCTCTTGGATTTGAGGGATCCAGCATGAGAAAGTAACAAGCCTTCGTAGCCACGGCATTTGGATCTGCGTTGGCTGCAGCAACAGGGTAAAAGGAACGGTCGTGAAAACCTGAAAGAAACGGTTAAAATTAAATAGAGCTGAGTTGTATCACTCAATTGTTCAAAAATAAAATACAACGAACGTTGGTAGAACCTTAACAGAGGATACAAAACTGGGCTTTTGAGAAATACAGCTTCTGTAGCTTTCCAGCAGCACAGGCTGGATTTCACCTTTGGGAGGACAGCACTGAAATGTTGATGCCGAAGGAGCTCAGGAGTTCAGCTTTCAAGATAAAGCAAGATGAGATTTTTCCTCAGCTTCAAGCGAGACCTTCCTAAGTGTCTGGTCGAAGCGCCTGAAATTCAGTGCTATTGTTTTTCTTTGAATAAAAATAGAGTAACTATAAATAGCTCTCCTCACGAATGCTGAATCACTGTATTTTGTACCGTACGGCAAATTGCTTCAAACTTCATTTAAAACTAGGAAAGTTTTGTTTGCTTAAAACACAATTAAAAGCCCAGCAAAGCATCTCATTCTGCATTCGTATAGCTTTTTAGAAGTACAGAAAATTTTCCTTGCCCTCTCTGATTTCTCACTATTTCAAAAGCTCACCATTTGCATTTTAAAAAAAATAATAATAAAAAAATAAATCAAAACCAAATCAAATCAAAACCTAATTATATTTTCTGCCACCTAATCACATTTTCTGTCACTGGTCAAAGTTACGTATTTCAGTTTTTCAAAAATCTTTTTTTTCTTCGTTTTCTCATGTTCACTATGTTAACAAGAAATGGGTTCACAGTAAACCTTAGAAAAATATTTTTCACTAAAACCATCCATCATGCAAATGGTGACTCCTGCACCCAGAGGCTGTCTCACGAAAGCCAGGGAGGATCTATTAATGTGTCCAACCTCCCAGTGCCTTCTCGAGACCTCACTCAAATATACGTGTATTTTGATTTGCAGCACTGACAAACCGATTGACAGGACCTCAAGTAAAAGAGCATGGTGGAGGTGGATTTGCCTACACCCTTCCAGAATGAGACATTTAAAAGTCACAATACTAGAACAAACTGGAGTAAACGTGTATTTATTTCACAGAAAAAACACTGAAGTGAGGTAACAGAAGTGAAAAGGTTTATGAACGATCTCCCCAGCGTCTACTTTGTCCCCCCAGGGCAGGTCCTCTCCTTCATTCTTCCTCTCAGCCCAGCGACTCCACACATTTCTGACCTGTAGAAAATGCCACAGAGCCCACTTTGGTCCCATCTGCTTCTGTGTCCATCCCTACCCATTTCACAGACCTCCCTCTTCTACCCTTCCTAGTCCTCCCGTCTCTGCTCCTGACAGGCACCTCCAAAGTCACAGCAAATCTCAGAACCATTTAAAACTCATCTTTTAACTTACTGAGTAACACCAAATTGTACTGACACCTTCCCTCTTCCCTGCCTTCTTGAATCCCCTGCTCAATTGAAAAATTAGGATAGTAACCAATTTTCCTTCTCTCCCTTCTTCCCTGCCTCACCCAAGCCCGCCAAGGGCAAAGAACATTTAAGCAGTCCTACACAGGTTGCCTCTTCCCTGGTGGATACTGGAGCTTCTCCTTGCTTTCTCCTGCCCAGGTTTTTCAGTCACGTCATTTACCCCATTATGAGCAAGGTTTCTGAAAGATGAGTTGACAAAAATAGGTGTTTTCTTTCCCTCGCTCCCCAGCAGTTCCAGAAATGAGACCTGTTTAATCATTTCTGGATGCAATTTAGGATGAACACGAGTTTTCTCAACTCCCCTATCCCACCAGCCCAAGCCATGCTTGACATCTAGCTCCATCCAACCTACCTCCCTCCCAGTTCATCAGCTTTGGTTTGGTTTGTATCTTGTGGGGATTCTCCCTACAGAAGTGAAACGCCAAGATACTGTGGGATACTGAGAGTATTTTCTCCATTGCCTCTCTTCACAATTAGGGATAAAATCTCCTGCACATCCTGTTAACGCAGAAGAAAACCCTTCTTCTCTTTCCCAGTTCTCCCAAGTGTCTCTGACAGACTGAGTCTCCAAAGCCTCAAAATGCAGCCCAGAGCTGTCTCCAGACTCACTTCTTGTCTCCAATACCACTGTTATGAGAGCCCAAGTCACCAAGCGCTTGGAGGAGCTGCCCCACACCCTTCTTCAGAGCAACCATTATCAGAATACTAAAAGCACTGTAAACTCCAGAGCTCGGTGTTTTTAGAAAAATACATAAAATACGGAACCTGAGCAGTAAAACTAAAAGCAAAATGAATAAAAGACTTTTAAATACCTCCCCTCGTTCACTGTGGTTTCGTTTGGGTTTTTTTTCAGGCTAATGAATAAAAGACTTTTAAATACCTCCCCTAGTTCACTGTGATTTCATTTGGGTTTTTTTCAGGCGTGTTCTCAATCCATTAACAACCTAATTTTGCATAATCCCTATGCATCCCTGAAGGAAAGCCTTTGTTTCCGTGTTTGAGCATTTACTGAGACTGTTCACTGCCTCCTGCTCAGTCTCCATTCCCGGCACAGGCTCCGTTCTGACCAGTCTGTACCCCATTCTCTGAAAAGCTGCCCCTTGGAAATACGCTCAGATGCTCTCAGGGAAACCCAGAATCTCCCTCCTGCCAGAGACTTGCACCTGATGGACAATACAGCAACCAGGAGAACACAACAGGGAACCTTCCTCCCATCATAGTCAGCAAAGATGCAAATAGAGAATCACAGAATGGTTCAGGATGTCAGAGATTTAAGATCACCAAATTTCAACCCCCCTGCCATGGGCAGGGACACCTCCCACCAGACCAGGTTGCTCAAAGCCCCATCCAACCTGGCCTTGAACACCTCCAGGGATGGGGCAGCCACAGCTCCTTTGGGCAACCTGGGCCAGTGTCTCACCACCCTCATTGTGAAAATTTCTTCCTCATATCTAATCTAAATTTACCTTCCTCCAGTTGGAAGCCATTACCCCTCATCCTATGACTACACGGCCCTTGTAAAAAGTCCCTCTCCAGCTTTCTTGTAGGCCCCTTTTAGATACTGGGAAGCTGTTATAAAGTTACTAGAAAGCTGCTACAAGGAATTCAAGTGCCCTTCCTGATGCACCCTACATCGGGGTTTTCAAAAAGGATCAAGGAAGGTCAGATTGCCAAAACCTTAATTAACAAGAGCCCAGTTCTTAATTCCTCTTTTCCTCTATGGAAATTCCCACTTAGTTTATGTCAGTAAGATACCTTCAAGCTACAACCATATTTTTTACTGCAAAGTTCTTTGCCCCATTCTTGGTTTCATCCACAGCTGAATAAATAGGTTTGGAAAACTTAATGAGCTTAATTTTAAAATCACGGTTTCTCCGGTTACAATTTCTTTTCTCTTAAAAAACATCTTTAAAATTTGCTACGCACAAAACCAATACACAGCCACAACCACATTCCTTCGTGAACCAGAAAGCCAGTGTCTTCTTGATAACTGTACTTCTGGCATCCGAAGGAGGGACACAAAGGGCTTTTACCAAGTACAAGACTTCCTTTTAATTTTATGTTTTTCGATGTTTTTAAAGTGTATAGATTGTAGGTCACATACACGACAGCAGAGAGGCAGAGCAGTTGAGAGTGAGCCTCACTGCCCTCTTGGGAAAGTAAAGTTAAAACCTCCCCACTCCAGAGGCAGTAGATTAAGGTTCCAGAAGCAATTCACCATTTGAGACTCTTCCCGAACAAGAAAACAAATAACAACAACAACAAAAACCCACATGAAAAAAAAAGTGCACTGTTTACTGATCTTCGCTTCTTAGATCCTTTATTTTCTAACTGAAAAGAAGTTAAACGGTATTTTAGCAAAATGTATCAAACCTGAATACCTTTTTTGAGAAAGCTTGTCAATAATTTTGTATGTTTTACTATTTGAAATATAATAAGGGGAAAATAGCAGCAATCCTCTGAACACTTTTATGGTTGGCAAGAATCCCATCTTTTCACACAGATTTCTAAAGAAAGAAGTGACCCTACATTGTGAAAAAAAAATATTTGATATTTACTGTGGTGGTTTTTTAAGGTTTACTTGCAAGTGTTGGGTAAATAAAAAGGCATCTTTCTCTTAAAACTATTTTGAAGTACAAGCAGCTAAATCGGACTGCAAAGCCTTCTTAAAACTCTTCCACCTCCAGTGAGGATTGTCACAATTTTGCTATTTTACAGCTTTACCATGCTAATACATATCTGCACAATGAATACTGAAACAAAGATGAAAAAGAATAGAAGAGACACACTTTTCTGTCTTCAATACAGACCTAAAGTGAGAGTTTTAAATGAGAAATATGGGAAACTCCCCTATAAAAACCACAGGTGGCCAGAGAATGTTCACTCAAGAAAGTTTTTCTGAGACTCAACAAAAAAAAACATTATACAAAAGAGATGTAAAAAGAACAATCAGGACGTAAGATACTTTGCCTGGAACATGACTGCTCAAGAACAGATGCCAACCCGCAACCGCATGAAGGGAAATGAGAAGGCAGGTACCAAAGCTGGGAGGCTCAGTCAACTAGAAACAAAGACAACGGAAGAAGAGCCACAGCAGAACATCATCCTTAGGACCACTGTGGCCAGGCAGCTTCTAGGAGTTTTATTTAAGATAGCCCAAAATCAGATGGTTAAAGAAGTTTATGAATTGAATGTACACTGGCAATTGGTCACATCTCAAGTGAAGTTGTTTCCTCACTCTCCACCTAAGTGGTGGCAACAGCCCTGGTGAACTGGGCTGTTAGCAAAAATGGAAGACAAAAAAAACATTATACAAAAGAGATGTAAAAAGAACAATCAGGACGTAAGATACTTTGCCTGGAACATGACTGCTCAAGAACAGATGCCAACCCGCAACCGCATGAAGGGAAATGAGAAGGCAGGTACCAAAGCTGGGAGGCTCAGTCAACTAGAAACAAAGACAACGGAAGAAGAGCCACAGCAGAACATCATCCTTAGGACCACTGTGGCCAGGCAGCTTCCAGGAGTTTTATTTAAGATAGCCCAAAATCAGATGGTTAAAGAAGTTTATGAATTGAATG